AGAAAAAAAACGTAGGGTGGCACAAATCTCTCTGAGCAAGATACATACTTCTATGCAAGAATACCTTAATTTTGTGCTTTAATTAGCATTAATTGACTTTCTAATGTTAAACCAACCTGTGCTCTCAGAATTAAGCCAATGGAGTAGCTAAATTTTATCTTTTTTATACATTGTTGGATCTAGCCTACTAAATTTTTACTTAAGATTTTTCATCTATGTTCATGAATGGGATTGGTTTACAAATTGCCTTTCTTGAACTAACTTTGTCAGTTTTTTTTTTTTCTTTCTTTCTTTTTTTTTTTTTTGAGATAGGGTCTCACTCTGTCGTTCAGGCTGGAACTTTTTTTTTTTTTTTTGAGACAGAGTCTCCCTCTGTTGCCCGGGCTAGAGTGCCGTGGCATCAGCCTAGCTCACAGCAACCTCAAACTCCTGGGCTCAAGCGATCCTTCTGCCTCAGCCTCCTGAGTAGCTGGGACTATAGGCATGCGCCACCACGCCCGGCTAATTTTTTTTTTTAATATATATTTTTAGTTGTCCAGCTAATTTCTTTCTATTTTTAGTAGAGACGGGGTCTCGCTCTTGCTCAGTCTGGTCTTGAACTCCTGAGCTCAAGCGATCCACCTTCCTCGGCCTCCCAGAGTGCTAGGATTACAGGCGTGAGCCACCGCTCCCGGCCCAGGCTGGAACTTGAACACCCTAGCTCAAGTGATCCTCCTGCTTCAGCCTCCTGGGTAGCAGGGACTACAGGTGTGAGCCACCACACCCAGCCAATTTTTCTATTTTTTTGTAGAGACAGGGTCTCACTCTTGCTTAGGCTGGTCTCGAACTCCTGGCCTCAAGTAATCCTCCCACCTTGGCCTCCCAAAGTGCTAAGATTACAGGTATGAGCCACCACACCTGGCCCCTTGTCAGGTTTTGATATAAAGATTATGACAGTCACCATACTCAGTACTTTTTATTAGACTGTTATTTTTACTTGACTGTTTGATAGAACTTGACCCTAAATTAATCTAGCCTAGTGTTTTGAGGATTCTAAATATAGACTAATTTTTAAAATTCGTTATAGACTATGCAGATTTTCTATTTCTTAAGTCAGTTTTTTTAAACTCTATTGAGACATAATTCACATACCATACTTTCACCCATTAAAGTGTACAATTCATTTTCAGTTAGTTCACAGAATTGTGCAACCACGACCACTATCTAAAAACAGATTCCAGAAAATTTTCTTCACTCCACAAGAAACCCTGTAGCCAGTATCTATCAATCACTCCCTCTTTTCCTTTAACCCCAGCCCTAGGCAACCACCAATCTACTTTCTGTCTCTATAGATTTGCCTACTCTGGACATTTCATGTTAAGTGAAATCATAATATATGTGGTCCTTTGTGACTGGCTTCTTTTACTTACCAAAATGTTTTCATGGTTCTTCCATGCTGTAGCATGTATCAGTACTTTCTTTCTTTTTATTGTCAAATAGCATTCCATTGTATGGATATATCACCTTTTATTTATCCATTCATCAGTTAATGGACATTTGGGTTGTTTCTACTTTTTGGCTATTAGGAAAAATAGTGCTATGAATATTCATGTACAGTTTTTTGTGTGGATACGTTTTCATTGATCTTGGATTTATACCTAGCTATGGGACTGCTGGTTAACTCTATGTTTAACCTATAAGGAACTGGCAAATGGCACCACTTTACAATCTTACCAGCAATATATGAGGGTTCCTATTTCTCCGCATCCTCACTGACACTTGTTATTATCCATCTTTTTGAATATAGCCATCCTAGTGGGTGTGAAGTGTTATCTCTTTGTGTTTTTTGTTTGTTTTTTTCAGAGACAGAATCTTGCTGTGTTATCCAGGCTAGAGTGCAGTGGCTATTCATAGGTGCACTTACAGTGCACTGTGGCCTCAAATTCCTGGTCTAATGTGATCTTCCTGCCTCAGCCTCCTGAGTAGCTGGGACTACAGGCCTGGTCCTGTGGCTTTAACTTGCATTTTTCTGATAATTAAACATATTGAGCATCTTTGCATGTGCTTATTGGCCACTTGTATACCCGCTTTGAAGAAATGTCTATTCAAGTCCCGTTTTAAAATTGGCTTATTTGTTCTTTATATATTCTAGATACAAGTCCCTTATCAGATATATGATTTGCAAAATTTTTTCCCCATTCTGTGGGTCCCTCCCCCCACTTTCTTAATGGTGTTCTTTGGAGCACAAAAGTTTTTAATTATGGTGATGTCTACTTCATCTATTTTTTTCTTTTGCACTACTGGCGTCATCTCTTAAGAAACTATTGCTTAGTCCAACATCACAAAGATTTATGCCTGTGTTTTCTTCTAAGAATCTTAGAGTTTTAGCTCTTACATTTAAGTCTTGATCCATTTGGGATTTATTTTTTATACAATGTGAGAAAAGGGTCCAATTTCATTCTTTTGAATGTATCTAGTTATCCCAGCACCATTTGTGGAAAAGACTATCTTTTCGCCATTAAATTATTCTTGGCAACCTTCTCAAAAGTCAATTGACTGTAAACGTGAGGGTTTATTTCTGAACTCTCAATTCTATTCCATTCACCTGTACTAGACTGGGGGTTGGGAGAGATGGCTAAAGGTAAATTTTATAATAAAACATGGGTTAGTTAATAATATTTTATCTATTTAATTTCTTTGGTTTAATTATGGAATTGTGATTATGTAGAAGAATATCTTTGTTCTCAGGGGTACATGCTGAGGTATTGAGGGATGAAGTGTTATTGCGTATTTTAAATGGTTTAGGAAAAACCCTGTCTATAAAGTATATATGGTAAACATCAACAATAAATTAACCTAGATGGAGGGTATATGGGTATTTACTGTACAATTTCAAATTTTCTATAGGATTGAAAATTTAAAAAATAAAAACCTGGGGGAAAATTATATACTCCTATAACAAAACAGTTGGGAAACAAAAAAGGCAGCCCTTAAGACAGTCACAGATTAAGATGCTTTTTACATGGATGGGTCTCACCATTCTGTCCAAAGGGAATACCTGACATCTGTTCCACATTAGTGACGGGACTCATCACAGGCTGCTGCACAGGTATGAGACGTTGCAGATCACCTCAATCCCCAGAGTTGCTGGGCATAATCCCAGCACTCATTCACTTGCTCTCTGAAATAATTAGATGATCCCTTTCTGATGAGTGTAAACAAGCTGCAAAAATAACCTCTTTTGAGAAGTTTTTACTTTTGGAGAATAAAATTAAGTACATGTCAACTTTCTACAGTATACAATAAACTCAAATAGGCCATATTATTGAAATGATGGTAATTAATATATTATTTCCATTTCCATTTTCCTACTATTAAGTCTCAATTCTCTGAAAAACAAAAACACTGAAAACAAAAGTTTACTCTTATATAGCAAATAAATGAGGATAATATTTCTTGGTTTCAAGGCCAGGCACGGTGGCTCACACCTGTAATCCTAGCACTCTGGGAGGCCGAGGCGGGTGGATCGTTTGAGCTCAGGAGTTCAAGACCAGCCTGAGCAAGAGCAAGACCCCATCTCTACTAAAAATAGAAAAATTAGCTGGGCTTTGTGGCATGCGCCTGTAATCCAAGCTACTCGGGAGGCTGAGGCAGGAGAATTGTTTGAGCCCAGGAGTTTGAGGCTGCTGTGAGCTAGGCTGACACCACAACACTCTAGCCCAGGTGACAGAGCGAGATTCTGTCTCAAAAAAAAAAAAAAAATTCTCACAACCATATAAAGTAGGTACTATTATACCCATTTTACAAATGAGTAGGTGAAAGCTAGAATTTGCCCAAGGTGACCCAGCTGGTAGGTAAACTGGGTCTTTAGACCCAAGCAGTCTGGCTTTGGAATCGTGCTCCCAAATACTGTGCTATAATGTCTCTCAATACCAGCTACTAATTAAAAAATCAGAAATATCTTCCTTACTAACCTTCATCAGTATGGGATAAAGAATATCCTTTGGCTCCTTTATATCTAAATTTTCAACATATTTTGTCTCTTTCAATTTATCAACTAGCTTCAATTCTGAGCCACCTGATTTTATTTTACTATTTCTTTCCTCCCCCACTTTTGCCCTTTTGTGACTGCGTTTGTGTCTGGTTAGAATAACCATAAATGTATGAAATAATTAAACCTTATTTGTTCAAAATAAAAGAGGAGTTTAACTCTTTCCCTAATTCTAACTACTCTCTTATCGAGCCTTCAAAGACTTGCTCAGAAAAGTACTGTTGATGCTGATAAGCAGAGTATCCTACGAGGAGCACACGAAGCCCTGGGCTGCAATACCACCAAAGCAGTGTCTTCAGTTCTTCTCTGTTGTGTGTACAATGTGGATGGAGCAAGACGGGTGTGGTGGTAGAAATTATGGTAGTAAATATAAGATGTTTTCTGAAAACATTTCCATTTCATGGAAATACAAGGTTTAGATGATATCAAGCCAAATACAGAAAGGAGAAAGTTTTATTTATCTAAAACAATTAAGGCTATATAAACAGACAACTGAAAGCCACATAGAAAGAAATTTCCAAAACACACAAAAGAGAACGTCTCATCTACAAGATTATTTACATGTTTAGGGCATATATTAAAAAACATGGTCCCCTAGGTTTAGTATAGACATAGAAAGCAGTCTATGGAACACACTTGGGAAGAGGACTATAGTATTTTCTAGTACATGACAAAAACCAAATGAGGAACCCTCAAGAAGGTAGCAATATGCTGAGGTTTTAAGACCTTGGCTTTGATGATTTTTGAAGGTTAGAAAGAAAATCAAAACGGCTTCTACTGGAAATGGTGGTGGCCTCAAGGCAATAATCACAACCACAGTGCTTCTGAATGGCCCTCCATTTGGGGGCAGAGTAATCTGCAAAGATGATAGTTTTTACACATGCTCTGTTACCTACACCAATACAATTACTATATTACCTTATAAAGACAAACAGTTGTCTTTAAACTCTTTAAAAACATATACTGAGTTTCCTAAAGATTAAAAAAGTCCAGATTCATCAAAGATGAGTAAAAAATCCATTACTTTCCTAGGGTCACTTTCTTCCTTTACTCCTGCTTAAATGCAAAAGCTGATAGTTTCTGATTTGTAGAGAGATCTAAAGGTTTTTGCTTTTTAGGCAAATTCAGATTCTCCTTTGCTTTTTCTTTTTGGTTTTTTGTTTCATCACTTTCATCAACCACACGTTTTCTCTTCTTTGCTTCAGCTCCATCATCTGCAGCTGCTCCTTTGGCCTTGTTAGTCCATGCCTTTGTAAAATATTGGGGGTGAAGAGAAAAGATTTTTAGCAGTAACAAATAGGAAGATGATTTCTTTTTAATTTCTATTAAAGTTTTTTTAATCTCTTCATCAAGAAGCAAAGAAAATGATTTCTTAACTTTTCCAGGTAACATGCTTATATATAAAGCAGAATAATTAACACTTGAACTGTTAAGTGTTCTCATTAACAAATCTTTTATTACTTAATTGCAAAGCACATTAAAAAATTACATTCTTTTTTTTGTTTTGTTTTTTAACATATATATTTTTAGTTGTCCAGCTAATTTTTTTCTATTTTTTTTTAGTAGAGATGGGGTCTCACTCTTGCTCAGGCTGGTCTCAAACTCCTGAGCTCAAACGATCCACCTGCCTCGGCCTCCCAGAGTGCTAGGATTACAGGCGTGAGCCACCACGCCCGGCCTAAAAAATTACATTCTATCTCTATAATGTTTCAATCTAAACACTGCTTGTATTTAACCATATTAAGTGCAAATACTATAATTGCAGGTACTTATTTAAAATGAAACGAGATAATTGTAGGCTCACATGCAGTTGTAGGAAATAATACAGAAAGATCCTATGAAGGCTTTACCCAGTTTTCCCCAGTGGTAACATCTTGCGACACGACAGTGCAATGATCACAACTGGGGTACTGACACATTGATACCATCTCATTTTACTTCTACTCATTTGTGTATATGTATTTTATTGTAGGTTTGTGTATTTACCACCAGAACAGTTCCATCACCACAAGGATCCTTCATGTAGCCCACCTCCCCCACCCCAAATCCCCACCCAGGCCCCAAACCCTGGCAACCACTACTATATTATTCTCCATCTCTATCACATTGTCATTTCAGGAATGTTATATAAATAAATTATACAGTATATATTCTTTTGGGATTGGTTTTTATTCACTCAGCAAGAGTCAAACAAGGTCCATTCGTTGCATCTGTCTCTTAAATCTCTTGTTTTTTTTTTTTTTTTTTTGAGACAGGGTCTCACTCTATTGCCTGGGCTAAATAGAGTACAATGCCATCGTCATAGCTCACTGCAGTCTTCCAACTCCTGGGCTCAAATGATCCTCCTGCCTCAGCCTCCTGAGTAACTGGGACTATAAGCCTATGCTACCATGACAAGTTAAAAAAATTTTTCTGGGCCAGGAATGGTAGCTCATGCCTGTAATCCTAGCACCCTAGGAGGCTGAGGTGGGAGGATGCCTTGAGGTCAGCAGTTCAAGACCAGCCTGAGCAAGAGTGAGACCCCATCTCTACTAAAAATAGAAAAAATTAGTGGGGCACAGTGGCGCGTGCCTGTAGTCCTAGCTACTTGGGAGGCTGAGGCAGGAGGATTGCTTGAGCCCAGGAGTTTGAGGTTGCTGTGAGCTAGGCTGATGCCAGAGCACTCTAGCCCAGGCAACAGAGTGAGACTCTGTCTCAAAAAAAAAAAAATTAATAAAAATTTTTTTTTTTGTAGGGACACGGTCTTGCTGTTGCCCAGGTTGTTAAATTTCTTTTAATCTAAAATAGTTCCTCTCCTCCTACTTTATTTCCTTGGCCATTTATTTATTAAAGAAAAGGGGCCCTTAATGCTGTAGAATTTCCCACATTAACAGACTAGATTTAAGTAAATGTTTAGGGTTTTCCTTAAAAGTATTGATTCCAACTTTTGCCAAGTCTCTTCCTCTTTTACAGTGTAAGGTCTTATTTATTCAGATGACATTTTATCTAATTCTTTATAATTTTTATCCTTTTATAAATACTTACAAAAAAATGAGAAATACAAAATTGCTAATGAGGTTCTAAATAAGGCTAGAGGTGGTCAGACCAATTTCTAGCTTCCTCATTATGCAATACCTTTATCCATAAGGCCCAAAGCAAGTATGTATGTTACTAGGTGCCTGTTCTATACACTGCCATCCCTGGGAAAGTGAAGTTTGAGGATTTAATTGGTCCACCACACACATTCCTTCCCCTTGTAACACAAAGGTCGCTCCTTCCTTCCTTCCTCAAGTGCAGGAACTCACAAGGAGCAAGCCACCTGTCCTAATTTCCATGTGAAAGAACATCAGCCTTTTTTTCCCCAAAAGGAGTATTCTCATTTAGTAGTCAATGTGTGCATAGATAGCATTTTTAAAAATTCTACTTGCAAGAAACCTAAAGTAGTAGTCCAAAAAATATGAATTAACTTCATTCTCACTTATTAATCTGTTTTGCTTTTGATTTTTAACTAATGCATCTTTTCTTGGGGTATTCCCCTAACTTAAGACATACAGAAACTTATACAAATCCAAACAGTAAACTGTCAAAAACTTAACCATCAACATTAAATAATAATCATTACATATCCATATGCTCGAAGCTGAGATTTCACATTTATTTAATTTCCTCTCCACATAAGAGTTTAGGGAATGTATTCAATTTCCAAAAACAGAAAAAAGCATTTTTATAAAAATTTTTAAAATCTGGAATTCACTAAGATTTCAATCTCAGCACAATTATCCTTACCTTCCTTTCTTCAGTTGACAATACTCTAAATCGAATCATTCCTTCTTTTATTATGTCTGCTTCATCTGAAAAGTCAGGATTGTCAGACAAAATATTACTTCTATTTTCTTCTAGCCACATCTGAAATCCAGTCTTTGGCCTAAAACAGCAATTATGTGAAAAAACTTTATACTTAAGATGCAGTTTAAAGTGCTTTATGATTTTTCAAGTTAGTAATTAGACATTAGTCTTTGCATACCTATATAAAGTAAGGAAGTCACAATTATACTTGTTAAATTCATATTACCATAAACTGCCTAGAGACTGTAGGATTAATCAACTAGATAATCCTTTTAAGGTCAATTTAAAAGGATTCCTCATATTTGTTTTCTCCAAGTGCAGCAACTATGAACTTTGTACTTTCAACTATTATGAATGTTGACAGGCTCAAGGTCTCCAATTTCACTTAGCCGCCTGGCCAAGTAAAATTCTTCCATGTGGCCTTGGTAGGCTCTTTCTCTTTTTTCCAAACCAGCTATTGAAATCTTTTTGAATTCTCTCAAGCCCCTTTCCATCACCTCACCCTTGCTCTCACAGATGACCTTGGGTCCTTGACATATTATCATTATGTAAAGCATGGACAATGCACACTTGTAAATTTTCTTACATTTCACTCACAACACAAATGTCTTTAGGTTACAAGTGAAGGTTTAATGCAAATATTTAATATTTACTGAGCACTTATTATCTGCCAGGCACTGTTCTAAATGCCTTATGTGTATTACTTCATTTAAATGGCAATAACTTTATGAGGTAGGTACAGTTAGTATCTCCGTTCCATAGATGAGGAAATTGAGGCTCACAGAGGTAAAATAACTTAGCCTAGGTTACACAGACAGTAAGAGTCAGACCTGGGATTCAATAGCCAGGCGGTTTGACCCCAGAGTCCCCACATTTAACCGAACAGTCATACTGCCTCTCACTACACTGAGGCTGAATGGATCCTAAATAACAAGTTTAAATACACTGCGAAAATACCAGGGAAAATGTTTATGATAAAATTTTCAACAGAGATAAAAACATAGGATATAAAATTACATCTCCAATATAAACCCCATTAAATATAAAAGCTTAAATTCATTAAAAAGGATTAGAAGAAAAGTATCTCTATAAAGGAGTAACTGAGTGATTTTTGTTTGCCAAAACTTAATAGTTACAAAAAACAAGTTATTAAAAAATTATTAACAGTATGACTATAACCACTTGTCCAATTTCTGAAAATACACAAATTTCAAGTAATCTTCTCAATGTAATCCTACTTGCAGGAAAAAGAAAAAAAGAACCAAAACAAACAAAAACCAAGAGTAAACAAAGATTCTTGAATTTTCAAACTTAATAAAGACCCATTTTAATTAAACTTGGTGCAATGTCACAAGTCTAGCTAATAGCATGTAATACTCTTTCTCTAAACTGCAAATTTTGTTATTTATTACTTTATTCTATTTTGAGACAGGGTCTTGCTCTGTCACCTGGTCTAGAGTATAGTGGCATCTTCATACCTCACAGCAACCTCAAACTCCTGGGCTCGAGCAACCTCAAACTCCTCCTGCCTCAGCATCCCAAGTATCTTGTACTAGAGGTGCATGCTACCACTCCCAGCTAATTTTTCTATTTTTTTTTTTTTTTAGAGATGGGGTCTTGCTTGTTCAGCCTATAAACAGCCGGCTTTAAAAAGAAAAACAAAACCGAACATTTCTTTCTTGATTTAGTATATCAACATCTTTGACAAAATATTTGGTTAAATATGATAATTCCTTAACAATATTTCAAAAAGCCAGTTGACAGCATAAAAAGTTGAGGCCAGGCATGGTGGTTTATGCCTATAATCCTAGCACTTTGGGAGGCTGAGGCGTGAGCATCACTTGAGGACAGGAGTTCGGGACCAGCCTGCACAGGAGTGAGACTCTGTTTCTACAAAAAGCAGAAAAATTAGCCAGGCATTGTGGCTCACGTCTGTAGTCCTAGCTACTCAGGAGGCTGAGTCAGGAGGATGGCTTGAGCCCAGGTGTTTGAGGTTGCTGTGAGGTATGATGATGCCACTACACTCTAGACCAGGTGACAGAGTGAGACCCTGTCAAACACACACACACACACACACACACACACACACACACACACACACAGACACACACAGACATGGTAATAGAATTCAGAACAAAATAGGAAATATAAAAACCACAGCTACTCTCTCAAATTAAACTGGCCAACATAAAATTATTAGAAAAATGAGATATTCAATGCCAAAAATGAAATTGCGATTTTAAAAATTTAATTGATATATTTAGAATAAATCTAACATAGCAAAGATCAAGATATTTGGTAACATATTACATTGGTAGACAAATAGGATATGAACAAATAGGAACTCTCATATTGCTGGGGGTGTATAAAATGATACAACATCAACACAGAACAATTTGGCACTATCTCTTGGAATTACACGTGCACATTAACTCGTTCCATACAGGAATCCATCTTATAGCTATATTTGCATCTGTGAGAAATGATATTCATATAAAATTATTCATTGCAGTACTAGTGAAAGACCAGCAACCGCTTTTGTCCACAAGTAGAAAACTAAATGAATTATGACGTATCTATTCAAAGGATATATTCTCTGACTTATAGTGCTTTAAAAAAAGATTCAAAGGATATAAAACAATTAAAGCTCTTTATGTAGTCATATAAAATGATCTGCAAAAGCTATTGTTAAATGAAAAAAGCAAGGTACAGAATAATGTGTAAAACTTTGTGTTAAACAAAACAGACAAATATATGCATGTGTTTGTATGTGCACAGAATAATTTTAGAAGGCTACACAAGAAATTTGTTGCAGTGATTATTTCTGGAGAGGGAAACTGGTTGGACAGGAAAGATTTACTTTTCATCGTACACTTTTTTAGATCTTTTGCAATTTTTCCCCATGTAACTATATTATTTAAAAACCAACAAAAAATGAAGACGCCTCTGACAA